TTGATTCTGCTTTTCCATTTAGGTCCCCAGCCAGAGGCCAGATGTCTTGTTCTTTAAATGCTTGTCCTCAGGCTGATGGTCAAGTTCTGTGCCAAGGCCCCTTTGCCCTCTGCCCACCTGCCGACAGGGCCCAGCCGCAGAGGGCATCTCTCTCCCACCCGCCCCCGAGCCTGTCCCTGTCTTTTGTCGTGGGGCCTCGGACCTGCCCTCACCTGATATCGGCCACTAGGTGGGGAGGTGGGGGCCCCCCAGGATTCTGGCTCTGTTCTGACCAGAGCTTAGGTCATCCATCTTGGACCCCAGACCTGAGTGGCCTGGTCGGTCGAGTGACGGGTGCCATGCTGGGGTGGCAGTCGTGGAGGGAGGGTGACGATAGGCCGGCTCTGGTCCCAGGCGGGCTGCTCGGGCTTCTGTGGCCCCTCTCCGCCACCGCCAGCCCCAACACCACCTCCTCACCTTCTCCTGGGCTCGCAGGCCAGGCCCGAGCCCCGCACCCCACCACCGGCTCCGCCTTAGGGAACTTCCTAGTGAGCCATCTGGCTCAAAGGATAAATAAATGCACCCCCCATCCCCATCCCCCGACCCCCTCCTCTCTCTTTCTCTCCCACAGACTCGATTTGGAAAATGAGCCCAGGCCGTTCCTTCTGTCAGCCACAGCAGAGACGAGTGACGCTGTGTCTCACCACCGGGGACCCTGTCACCCAGCTTCATGAACGCATCGGAGAAGGGCCCGAATCAGTGGGAGACGAAAAGCCACTTTCCTGACACTCTGTGGGTGGGTCTGGAGTGGGGAGAGGTCCCCGAGGGAGAAGCTGCTGGGGACACCACTGTGGCCCACAGGGGACGCTGGTTGGGCCCCTCCCGGCTGTTTCTGAGCCCCAGTGGCCGCGCCACGCCCTGTGGGACTGGCGTGTCCTCTGTCCTGTTTAGGAAGTGCGCCTGCCCTGCCCTCAGCACTCGAAGACGTTGTCTCGTGTCTCAGGAGATTTCTTCGTCTACTCGTCGCCTCTGGACCTTCCGGGCTTTTCCATGTACCTGTGAGGTGAAGCCGCACGTTTTTGCGGGCGCGCGTGCACTCGCTCCGGGACACCCGGCCGAGGAGCTCGCGCTCTCCCTGCGGCTGGGCGATGGCGCTGTGGTCGCAGCGGAGGGACCCTCTGCTTTTCCTCTCTTCTCCCGGTCGTCCTGAGCCGTTTGTCCGTCCTCCAGGAACACGCAGGGATTTGCTTTTCTCCACGTCCTCGCCAACACTTACGTTTTGTTTTTCTGACGAGTGAAGTAGAACACCTTTGCACGTATATCCGTTGGCCACTCGTACGCCTTTTTTGAGAAATGTCATTTCAGATTCTTGCGCATTAAATTTTTTTTTTTTTTGCTATTGAGTCGTACGAGTTATTTATATATTTTGGATAATAACACCTCATCACATACGTGGTCTGAAAATATTTTCCCTCATTCTGTTGGTTGCCTTTCTGCTCTGTCCCTGGCGAGCTTTGCTGTGCGGAAGCCTTTAAATTTAACATAACCCCATTCGTGTATCTTTGCTTTTAATGCCTTCGATTTTAGTGTCCACGTTCAAAAACATCATCGCCCAGACCAGGGTCAAGGAGCTGTCCCCTCGTTCTCTTCCATTAGTTTCACGGTTCTCGGTCTTATATTTAAACCTTTAATCCATTCTGAGTTGGTTTTTTATGTGGTGTGAGGTTGGGGTCCGATTTTATTCTTCTGCTTGTGGATGTCGAGTTTTCCCAAAGCCACTTATTGAAGTGGCTCACAGAGCTCAGGGAAACACCTGTTGACATTTTCCAGTTTATGAGAGGCTGTGATACAGGACACAGGTGACCGTCCAGGTGAAGAGCTCCCTTTTCTCATCTTTTCTTGGTGTCCTCGTCAAAGATCAGTTGACCGTCTACGCGTGGATTTATTTCTGGGTTCTCTATTCCGTTCCATTGGTCTACGTGTCTGTTTTTATGCCTGTACCATGCTGTTTCGAATACTGTAGTTTTGTAATGAATTTTGAAATAAGCAAGTATGAGGCCTCTAGCTTTGTTCTTCTTACCCAAGATTCTTTGGCTATTCAGGGTCTTTTCTAATTTTATATGAATTTTGGGATTGTTTTTCTATTTCTGTAAAGAAAGCCATGGATAGGGATTGCATTGAATCTGTAGGTCGCTTTGGGTAGTATGGGTATTTTAACAATATTAATTCTTCCAAACCACGAACAGAGAATGTCTTCCCTTTATTGTGTATTTTAAAATTTCCTTCATCAATGCTTTTATAATTTTCGTGTACAATTCTTTCACTTCTTTGGTTATTTCCTGAGTATTTTATTCTCGTTGCTGCTGTGAATGTGATTGTTTTCTCGATTTCTCTTTTGGATAATTTGTTGTTTGTGTATAGACGTTCGATGATTTTATATGTTTATTTTATATGCGGAATCGTTTATTATTTATAATAATTTTGTTGTCGTTGAGTCTTTAGGGTTTTCTATGTGTACGATCATACCGTCTGCAAATGGAGATAATTTTATTCATTTCTTTTCTTTGTGGATGACTTTTATCTCTTTCTTGTCTAATTTCTCAAGCTGGGACTTCCTGTACTATGTTGGAAAGAAGCAGCGAGGGTAGGCATCCTTGACCTGTGCCAGATCTCAGAGGCAAAGCTTTCAGTGTTTTCCCCCGTCAATCATGAGATGACCTGTGCGCTTTTCGCCTATGGCCTTTACTGGGTTGAGATAAGATGATTCTGTACCATTTTGTTGAGAGTTTTAATCGATGGGTGTTGAACTTTGCCAAACGCCTTTCCGCATCTATTGAGAGGATCGTGTGGAGTTTTTTGTTTCGTTTTGCTGACGTGTTATCTCACATATGTGGGACCCTCCTTGCGTCCCTGGGCTAAATCCCACTGAGTCACGGGGCATTGTGACCGTGTCGGGGGATCGTTTTTGTCCCTGATCGATAGGGTGAAGGGAGGTACGATATGACTGCCTCCCCCCAAAAAGCTACGGGTCAGAAATGGAGTTTCTTCTGAGTGACGAGTGATCATCAAGCAGTTGTCCAAGGCCACGCTGTCGTGCCAAATCCCTTCATTAGCTGGTTTCTGGGTTTTTAATTTTGTTTCTTGACTATAGATGTCGCAGAGGTGAATGTTTTCCTACTTATTGCTTTTAACTTCTATTGAATTCCTTTCGGGGGGTCAATTCCCAGGGGATGGTGGCCGAATCGAAGGTGTTCGACAGATTCTCCGTGACTCGACCTCGGCCTGTTTTCCCTTTCAGAAATTTGAGCCATGTTTTCATTTTAGTGAATCGAGGAACCACATCCTTGCCGAGGAAGCCACGACCCTGGGCAGGTGGAGGCTCGCCCCGTAGACTGGGAAAGGTTTGGCTTGAGCTACCGCTGTATTATTCGCAGACGTCCTGGGGCTCAGGCACCCTCGGGCTCGATGGCCTGTCCTTTGGTGCCCCCTTCTGGGAGACGCACCAAGCAGCCCACACGGCCCCTCCCCGGGGAGACGCGTGGGGTGGGGTGGAAAGGCTGGCTGACAGGAGGCTTGACAAGGGGAAGGCAGTTCACCTGTCACTCAGAGGCCCAGGTGGCCGCTGTACGGGCGGCCAGGCCTGCACATCTGGCCTCGCTTGCAGCAGGGCCGCTTCTGGAAACATGGCAGTCGGTCATTTCTTGACAACGGAGCTGTCCCCACCGCTTCCCTCTCAGCCGCCGCCCATCACCCAATGCCCTGCGGTCCTCCCTGCCATCTTCCTGGGCACAGCAGGACAAGGTCGTGGCTCTCGCTAGGAACACAGGGCCCTTCGCGTTCTGTCTCCGCCCTCCTCCCAGCCCCGTTTCTCCCGACTGCTCGCCTGAGCCCCGTGGACTCTGTCCGCCTGGCAGGCCACCCGCTTTCGTCCCGCCGGGCCTCGGCCCCGCTGCTTCCTCTGTGTGGGGTGCTGGTCCCCCACGCTTCTCCTTGCAGCGAGATCTTTTCTTCGGGTCCCACCTCGACGCCCACCCTCTGAGGAACTCTTCCTCGACCCCCCAGGCAGATGTTCCTTCCTGGGTGACCAGGGAGCCCCGTTCCTGGTGCATGACTCTCCCTCGGCTCATCCCACCCCGTGAGCTGGCCCCAGCTCCTCCTCGCATTGCCTCGGGAGGCCTGGTGCACTGTGGGTGCTTGGGGACACCCGTCGGATGGATGGATGGATGTGCTTCGTGACTGTGAAGTTCGGGGGTTCACCAGCTGAGGGAGGGCCCTCGAGAAAGTTGTATTGTAGTTGTGCGTCTGACCCCCGAGTGGGAGCTGGGAGACGAGCTCTGAGGCCAGGAGACGGGCGACGTGACCCCGTGTGGCCCTGAGATGCTTCCGGTCAGGCTCGGGGGGAAGGTGGCCCTCAGTGTCATGGAGTTAATTATAGGAAACCAACGCCGTGTGATGTCATCTCAGGGATGCAATTAAGGCCCAGCCACTGCTGATGAGCCTGTGAAAGGCGCCAGCCTGGCTGCCATCATCGGAGGCACCCAGGAAGGGCGGGACGTGGGACGTGGTGGCGGGACCCCTGCTCACACATCTGTCTCCCTGCCGAGTGCTGGCCGGCCTCTCGGACACGCCGCAGGCTGCAGCTGCATTCGGAGAGGCCTCTGCCCCACGCGACAGGTCAGCACCTCTCCCAGGAGAGTCGTGAGGGTGGGTGGACTGCGCTGGGTCCGAGCAGGGTCGGGGAGGAGAGCACAGCTCCTGTCCTCTGAAGCCTGTGGTCTCAGGGAGGGGACAGAGCCAGCGTCCTGAGAGGTCGTAGCAGAGCCTCCTGGGGACAAGGACGCTGGGCCAAGCCTGTGAGGGGTCCGACGAAGGGCGGGAAGGGGGGGAAGGTTCTCGATGGAAGGGCCCCCTGCGGGGGCCTGGCCCAGACGAGGTGCTGCTCTGCCCTCCCAGATTCCCCCTGCCCCCAGCTGCTCCCCCACCGCACCCCAGACCTGCCCCTGTCCTTGCTGGGGCCTGACCGCCATGACGGACACCCCCGTGGAGGAATCCCTTGTCCAGCTGGTCCGCTGCTACCACCGGTACGCGGCCCGGGAGGGGGACGTGGAGACTCTGTCCCTGCAGGAGCTGAAGGCCCTGCTGGAAGACAACACGCCCCGCTTCCTGGGCAGCCTGGTGAGTGGGTCTGGGCTCAGGGGCGGTGGAGCGACGGGTGGTCGTGGGGGCGGATGGGAGGACTTCCCCCCGGGGGGGCAGTGCCGCGGGCAGGGTCCGCGGCCGGCCTTGTCCCCTGAGGCTGCCTGCATGGCCCCGCGCCAGCCCAAGCCTCGCTGATCCCCGAAACGCCATCCCAACCGCAAAGCTGTTTGTTCTGTCTCGTCTGGCTTCTCGCGGGGACAGCGCTACCCCTGCCCTGCGCACGGGCCTTTCCTCTCCTCGCCGTCCCCAGGCCTCAGGGCCGCCCGTTGTGGGACACCCTGGACGGCCCCAGGGCCCACGGCTTTGTCCTCTCCCTCGTTCTGCACCCTCCCTAGGGGACGTGGTATCATAAATAATCCCTGGCAGGTGCCCCAGCATGCTGACAGCTGACGCCGCCCGGCGCTGGCCCCGCCGTGGGGCTGGCGATGTAGACACAAGGGCAGGTGGGCTCTGCCCTGAGAAACTGCTGGGGTGAAGCCCCCAGGCTGGTGGTCCCCGCAGGGGGCTTGCTGATCAGCGGGGAGACAGGCGGAAGCAGTGCCGGCAGGTGGCCAGGTGCTCAGCCCTGCTCTGCAGCTGCAGCCAGGCGGCCACCAGCCAGCGGTGCCCCGTCTACACCGTCTGTCTTGTCTGCCTGCCCCAGGCGGCCCAGGCCCGGGTGCCCCGCACCCCTCTCCCCCTCGTGTCTGATTCAGCAGCACATGGTGCCCTGGCCACTGAGTGAGGAGCCGTTTCCGGCAAGCCCCTGGCAGGCGGGGACACTCAAGGCCCCCGGCCCCGGCCCCCCGCCAGCGGGCGCCGGAGAGCCTGGCCGTCTGTGCAAGGCCAAGGGCCCGGGCCCTGGCTGATCGCCCGCCCTTCCTCAGGGCCGGAGGGAGCCGTACTTCATCAGCGAGCTGTTCCGGGCAGCAGACAAGGACAAGGACAACCAGCTCTCCTTTGACGAGTTCCTGTACGTCCTGGGCAGGCTGCTGAGGGACTGCCACCTGCAGTACCACCGACGGCTGTGCGCCCACTGCTGTGCCCAGCGCAGCCTCTACTAAAGGGGGCGCGGCAGCCTCCCCCGGGGCCGGCCGCTGGGGCTC